ATTTGAAAATACTATTCTGATATTTTATATTCATGCTCTTGTAGGCAGTTCCTCAAGAGATGAAAATGAAATATATGAAACTTAAGTGTGAGACAATATAGGATTTGTCTTTCCAGGAACAATAGAAGAAAATCCCATAAATCAAATGTATTACAACTGTTTGTCTGTTGAGCAATTTCCTCCTTTAGAAACTACTCATATTGTCACTGTTAATATTAGAAATAATATTTAAGAGTCAAAACACATACTGAGCCAGGTATGGTGGTATATACCTATAATCCCAACTACTAGAACACAGATTGGGAAATGTGGATTTCTAGTTCAGTGAAGCCTTGTCTCAATCAATAAGGTGGGCATAGTGGCATATACCTCTTGTCCTCACTAAGTAGGAGGCATAAATAGAAGGATCATAGTCCAGGCCAGCCACGGTAAAAAAAAATACAAGAACCTATTTGAAAAACAATAAGCATAACATAAATATAAATGCTAGATAACATTAATAGTGTGTCTCTACTGTGGATTTCTTATGCACAAGAGTCAAATACATTAGCTAAGATCAGGCATTCTGGGCTAAAGGCCTAACCACCATTCTGACTTAGCCTGTCCTCTGAGAAAGATCAAGTTTTCTCTACCTTGGCATATCGCCTTTCTTTAAAAATCTACAGGTCTGTGTATGTGTGTTGAGCCCTAGTAGGAAAGTACAACTTACTTTGGTGTATTTTGTCCAATAAACAGAAATAAAAGTGCTTAACATAGTAATATAAAAACAAACATTACTGTGTTACCTCTGTTAACACAGATGTAACATTTCACTCCCGACAGTTACCAGTTAATTATAACCCAAACAACACACAGTGCATCTGCATATAATTTCTCTTATTGAAAGTTGCACTACCAGATATTTAACAGATGCCTACAGACCTTTCAAATTACAAGCTGTACGAATTCTTCCTGTGAATGCTTATATTATTAAGATATTATCTACTTATGATCTAAAAAGGCCTTCTCACTTTTTAAAATATTCCCCGCAAGAAGGAACATTAACTAAACCCAGAATCTATGACACTATAACTTGATCAATACTCTCATAGCAGAAATGAGAACTATTATGTCCCAAGTTTCTTGTACTTTCCCCCTGCATTGATTGGATTTGTGGATTATTAAAAAGTTATAAAATCTTGGCTACCCAGGATATTTCAGAAATGAATCCTTTAGATAATGTTTTGGTAATTATCTGCCTAAATGGAGAGAAGTAGGAAAGAGAGCAAAGGAAAATTTTTCCTATCCCTTTTAGCTATTAGCTATGAACCCATCCAAATTATGCTAGATTTTCTAATGAGGATAATTTTCTATATTTTCAGAATGATACGGCCAATTTTCCTAATTTTCAGCAATTAGTTATCTAATACAGACTATATAAGACATGAAATCTAATGGTGAGACAAAGGACAAAGGGGAAGCCAATGCAACCATGGTACTCACAAGGCAATATATTGGAAATGATCTGTACAACTTGGGTGGGGGATGGGAAAGGGAGAAAGATGAGGGAGGGAGTAACAAGTTCGACAAGAAATATACTCACTACCTTACTTAGGTAACTGTAACCACTCTGTACATCACCGTGACAATATTTTTTTTAAAGCCACAGCAAGCTGGAAAAAAAGGACATGAAATCTGACTTCTAAGGCTTGTCATGTGGCCAAGATCCAAATGTTTATCAGAACCCATTAGTGATGAAGTGCCAAAATTTCCCCCCAAAGCAGCTAGAGAATGACATTTTCCTTTGAATAAGTATCTATAGAAGAAACATAAAAGTGACTTTGGCTCCACTTACTCAAGAATATTTACTTCTGAAATTGTTCCAGCATATTGGATAAATTCTGAGCAGGCTTTAATGGAAGTCTCAAGAGTTGAGCTCCTACAACTGGTAAGACTTTAGAACTCTTAGTATCTGACATCTTACTTTGCTACTCCAAAAGCTGCTGATATCTAGGAAGCAAGCCAGGGAACATAGCCAAAACCAAAAAAAATATTCTCCCAGAAGTTAAAATCCAATGCTAGAAAACTGAATGTCTTGTGCTTTTCTCACGGGTGAGCCCCTGGGAACAGGCCGCAGTGACTTAGAGCATTCTTCTACTTTAAGTTGATACATCCTTCTAACAAGCTTGGGCCTATGGTTTCTCAGTATTAAAAACAACACATTGGAAGGGGAGAAGTTGCTAGCCTAAGCATCCTGGGAACAGACCAATGTGATGGACTGCAAATCAATACAAAGATAACAGCTACAAAACTTTGGCCTAGGAACACAATTATAATTCAAAAGGGTGTTTATTTACTTATCATTTTGGAGGATAGCTTTTAGAAGCAGTAAGAGATACACATACCATTTGTCCCCCATTGTAATAATATGAATAGTCTGGGATTCATAGGTATCTAACACATGGAATTTTCAAACAGATGCATAAATAATTAAAGACATTTTGGAGCCATTACATTTATCCCAGAGATTTAACCATATGAAAATACTTTGTGCTTAAAATTTTGTTTTTAAGTTGTGATTTAAAAAGAAGAGAAAAATAGTTAACTTCAAAAGTCTTAACAATTATACAGACAATGTTAGAAATGTTATAGCCTCTGTATAACATAAGTACTTGATCTAGTAAATTCAGTTTTCTTTTATAAAGTCAGTTAATACATTAAATAGTTAGTCACAGGAAAAAATCCATGGAAAGGTTAATTTTGGCCCTAAAACATTAACTTTTTTGCCTAACATGTACTATTGTACCTATTATTAGGGTAGAACATGATATTTCAACATAAGAATACAGCATCCATTAAGCTGCAGGCATGGTTCAATGGTTGGTCACCAGCTTAGCAAGTGTGAAGCTCTAAGTTCAAATCTTTGTACCATGGAAAAAATAAAAGAACAGTAAAAATATATTACACACAGATCAAGTGAGGAGAGCTAGCATTTCCTTCTTATTGTCACGCTGTGGCCTTTGTGCTCCCCTCTTCTAGATCTTAATAAAGAATTCAGTTAATATGAACTGTAATAATCACACTATGTTGTGAAACACCGGCATTTGAGCCCCTATTTAAATCTATTTTGGTATGTGTTACCCAGTCTCCACGTATTCCTCCCTTCCACCCTTTTCAGACTCTAGTAATCACTATTGTACATTCAAATGGGATTGTTTTTAAGCATCTACATGTGAGAGAGAATGTGGGACATTTGTTTTTCTGAGTGTAAATTATTTTACTTACCACAAGTCCTTGACTTCCATCCTTTTTGCTACAAATGACAGAATTTCATTCATCCTTATGGCTGAATAATTCTCCATTGTGTACATTTGCCACCTTTTTAATCCATTCATCTGTTAACGGACACTGTTTCTATGCCTAGTTATGGAAGTTGGTCATCTTAGATCTCAGTTCTTAGCATTGTTGGAGCATTTACCATTTGCCAAGTGACAGAAGCGGGGCAGGCAAAAGTTAAGTCCCACGTTCCTCAGAGATTTCGCTTGTTTTGTCTTCACACTGAACCCTTCAGGTAGTTCTACTATTACCTCCACGTATAGGTGGGGAATTGAAGCTCAGACTAGCTAAGTAACTTATGTTCCCTCAACTCTTGTTGAAGCAGGGGTCAGGACCCAAGCGAATAGAAGTTTTACCTCTTCTCAATTCTACATATTACACACTTTCCTGAACAGATTCTCCTTGAATTTTATTCAATGTGGAGAATCCATAGAAAAATTATATACGTATGTCCAAACTTTATAAATGCTGCTTAAATATGAAAGAAATCCAGCTATAACACCAATTGTGTCTGGATATACATTTAGCATTCACTTCAGTGATTTTAATATTTGTGGACAACTTACTTCCTGATACTTCCCATTGCTACTTATAGATTTTCTTTACTACTGATCACATTCTAGATTAAAGGATAAATGTACCTTTTTTTATTGACCTGGAAAGGTAAAATATATCTGAATTTAAGAGCTAAAATAGAGGTCTCTTAGATGGAGAATGAATTTGGTTGATGTTGCTTAAGCAAAAGAAAAGCTGCTAAAATACAACATCAATGCAACCAAAGAGACAGTTAATAGGCTCTGGAAAAGAAAGGGAGAGGAATTTGTGTTTGCCAATATGAGAAAGTGGGACTGGTGTAGGCTAAGAGGCCTAGGTGCTCTGTTGGAATAGGGGAGCTATGGCAACATCATATATTTGTGATGTATTTGTCTGTAAGGATCCATATACACTTTCAGTTGTGCTGTCTGATATGTTCTATGTCCCTTGCCTTGTCTTTCAAATCATCACTATAAGTTTTGTTACTGTAATAACCTTAAAGCCCTGGTTGCCTGGAAGACAGATGGGTTTCAGGATGCTGCTAAGAAAAAAGGCCTTTGTCCTCTCTTTTGGTGGATATCAGAGTGGTAATACAGGAAGAACCATAAGAGAAAGAGAAAATACCTTTAATAGAAGCAGAGAAAGAGCACTGAGGATCACGAACTTACGATCCCATAGAAGCATACTGGGGGAAATTTTTACTTTTTACCAGAAGGTTGAATTCATGTATCCTGATGTCAAAAGACTGGAGATCCCTAGTGGCCATTTTGAGTACCAGAGAAACTCAATTTTTTTGGGGTGGGGGGTGGGGGACAATGTTGTTTGCTCAAACTGTGAAATAGACAATGGCATACTGCTTCTTAAAAATAAATATGAATACATCAGCACATTTAGTCAAGCGATTTGCTGACTTCAAAACAGCCTGATGGATTTTTTTCCAACGAAACCTGTTATTGCCCGTAATGAAAGACTCTATATGCAGTAATCACAACATACACCCTTAAGGTTGATCACAGCATCTAAAAAAATCATGATACAGGGATTTTTAGTTATACTCAACACATTTTTTTCCTCCAGTAACCTGATTGGTTGTTCTAGATGCCATGAACGATATAAATTGGGCTTGCAGTTGGATGCAAACCATCGGATCAAGCATCCCTGAGTATCAGAGAGATTCACTCAGAATACATTCAAAGGTATGTGGATCTGATTCATGGTATCCTTTGTGTTATGCTTGCTTCTTTCTCTGCATTGTATGTTTAAATCTTAGTTACAAGTGTATCTTGCATTTCTAATACTTTAGGTCATGAACATAGTTACTTCTTCAGTTGGCTCATAATTAAATTATGAGTACACAAATGCATTATTTAATTTTGAATGCAGTAAAGTCTTGGTGAAAGTTTACTTCCAAAGCTCAAAAGCTCTTTGGATGAGAAATTTCACAGAAAAATATTTTTTTGCTTGCTTATGAATTAAGATAAAAATAATGCTTTTACAGGCTGTGATCCATTTCTTTGAAAAAAATTAATTACATCAAATGGAACCAAGTACAATATGTTTTTCTCTTATTAATATAGTTATAAAAATAAACAGGGGTAGGAGTCAGAAAACTGACATCATCAGACATGATATCTACTTTCTATATAAATTCAAAATCAGTCCCTTCATATTTTAAGATGGCCTTTCCACTTCATGTCCCAAAGGCCTTATTTCAAAACTTACAGTGCAGTGTCAAACAAAAAGAAGATGCCATGGATTAAAGATGGAATCTTAATCATTCAAAATTCATTAGAGCATATTAGCATTGTCCTCTTCCTTTGGTTCAACTACATCTTTTGCTGCATATCTGGCATTCAAAAGTGTAGAAAGCTGTATAGATAGGACTATCTAGAACTAAATCTTAGTCTCTTCTTGATGGTTTTCATAAATGACATATCTTCTCTCAAACTATTAGTCTGTACTTTTGGCATTAATAATGTTCAGGTGAGTTGTATAAGTAGATTTATGTATCTTCCTGCAATAAGAGTATAAAATATTATGCATTTTGATGATCTTCCCAACTTTTAGAATTAACTATATTATTTTAATCATGAATTATAATTTAGTTTATATGACTCTGCAGCCTGTATAGGCTCAGGGAAATAGTATGCAGGATCATGTAATCATACATTATTCATGGCCCTGTGACTTGTTTAGTTTTCAGCCTAATTTAAAATCATCTTTATCACTATTGTGACTGTATTCTGTGGTATGGGCTAAGAACTAGGAATCGCTTGTCAATGAGGTCATTTCACAAAGAATGAACCCAACTTCTTTACTAGTAGCATGCTAGTGTAGATGATATATATTGCATGGTACATTAACTTTATGCATTTTTAAGAAGTGATAAGAAAACCCAATGTTGACTTACATTTCAGAACCATCCAGAAATGGGGACCTGGATTTTGTTTGCCTGCCTCTTGGGAGCAGCTTTTGCTATGCCCGTGAGTAGAAAAGCTCTTGTCACTAAAATCTATGTCTAATTTCACATGCATGGAAATGAAATCTGCCACATAGTTGGCAAATTTCAGAGTTCAAAACAGTGAAGATCACATATACTCAGATCTCTGTGTTAAAGAAACCCAAGAGCTTAAAAGAAACAAGGCAAACTCTCAAATGTCTCCACCAGAGATTCTCATTCAGTACAGTGGGAGTGGGGCCCAGTACTCTGCACTTGAACAAGTACAAGGGTAACAAAGCGATTCTGCTAAAGCAATTAGCTTATAAATATACTTCCCACCTCTTCTGAAGGGATCTATGAAAGGTTTTCAGAACAAGTGTCTAGGTAGCCTTAGGCAAATCCTACAAAAAAAATTCTCAAACCCAATTTCTCTCAAGTTTCCAAATCTCTTCTTGTCCTTGGAATGCCACTGCTATTTCCCTTCAGGAGGTAAGATTTCTACATTAGGACTTCCCTTCCTGAATCCTTTGGTTCTCAGAGTTCCCAACCATTTGGTGCATCTGCTAAGATTTTAGTGTAGCTGCTTGGAATCCTGCCTTATACCAAATGTTTATCAATGTATTTTACATTCAAATGTATCAAAGACTAGGAAGCCTGACCTACTCTCTAGACACTGGTACATGGAACAGAGAGCTAAGGTCACATGCTGCCAATGCTTTTCAGTGGCATAAAGAGCAGTTGATACAACCAGAAGCCAGTGAGCTTGTGCACCTGCCTCTTCTCTTCCTCTGTCACCCATAAGACCAAGATTCTGTGCTCTGCCTTCCTGAAACCCTGCATTGTGGTAATTCCTAGTCCCAGGAGGGACCCCTGCGTTACAAATTCAGCTATTTTTTCCACTCCTCAATCTAACACCCCTACTCTCAGAGGGCTTGGATCTAGATAGCACAGGAATGGTATTACCTGACTAAAATAATTAACACTCAAGTAAGAATGAGTAAATCCTCATAAAATACAAGCATTTTTAAAGGATAGAATAGAGGGAGATTTTTCTGCTTGCTGCTCTGTCTGCTTCATCTCCTGCATCTCAGAGTCACTCAGAATTCCACAAAGCAGACATAGGTCAATTGTGGAAAACACCGACAGTCCTGGTTGAGATAGTTAGGTTGCTTTTTGTTGTGAATGTTTACATTTTCTTCCACAGACTGTTGACAAGCATAATACAATAGGTTGGTCTTAGATTTCATAAATGAACTTTGATTGTTGAAGGGAGGGATTTAGGATGTTTCCATTTTGCTGTACCCTTCTTGTTGTCATATTTGCCAATATTTCCCATCCAACTATTCCTTTTGTTAGTGTTGATGTGTCATTTATTTATTTACTTTGCATGGTAATAATGAGGAATCCCTTTGATATTGAAGCATACAACCAGCTGATTTACAAGGGATTCTTTGTAAAACAGTTCTTTTCTTGTTGTTATTTTTAGTTGGGTGATAGAAACATACCTCTCTCCCAACCTGGTAGAATTTCACCAAAAAGCAGACTGGGTGGTGGGGGGGGGAGGAATAGGGTAGAAGTCCTTGTCAACATGGGGTACATGGGCTTGTCTGTAGATCACTGGAGAATAAATATATGCCTGTTTCTGTTTCTAGGTCTTCCATTAAGAAACTATAACTCCTGGGCAATTCATTTAGCTTTGGGGCCTCTTTAAAATAAGAAGGCTTCTTCCACAAAGCATTCAAATAAGAAGTAGATCTCAAATATATTCTGCACTATATAGATTTTTTTTTAAAAAACAAGTAGTTTTACTCTCCCTTAATGTGAACAATTGCATATTGACTTAATCTCTTCCTTTCTCTTCCTCTCTTTTTTCTTTCTCCATCTTCTTTTCTCCCTCCCTTTCTCATATTTTCCTTTCCTCTTTTCTATAAAAGCTACCACCTCATCCTGGGCACCCTGGTTATATCAACTTCAGCTATGAGGTAACTTTTCTATTTACTAATTTTGACCATTGTTTGAGTTAAAAATGCCCTGAGCACTTTAAAGAGTAGTTGTGTTGAGTTCTCATTCAAAATGTTTCTCAAATGGTCACATTTGCTCAGTGCCCACCACTAGCTTCCTAATTTAAGCCCTGGCATATGGCCTCAAGGCTGGAACCTTCCTTCCTGGCCACTCTGACTCAGTCTCTACTCCTAAATATGACTACAAATTTATCTACCATGAACTACCATTCAGGGGAGGCTCTATGGTAGGGGGAGAAAGTGAACTTGGCTTGAATAGCCTTGTTATAATCCTAGCCTAGTTAAGATGTTAAGATTCCTTCTAGCTGGAATATTCTTGATTCTAAGATGCTAATACTCTATGTGTGTCCTTCTTCAGCTTTGCTGAAAAATTAGTGACAAATGGTCTATGAGAGACTGCAGAGCGGTGGCAAGCTTGAGTTCTGGAAATCAGGTTTGAGGTATTCCTCAACCCCAGACCAACTTACAGGACCTTGGGAAAACTGTTTTCTCTCTCTGGAGACTTTGTTTTCCTCTGATGGAGAAGGGAAAGAAGTATAATCACATTCAAAAACAAAGTGATATTTGGAGAGTAATAGAGTTAATAGACACAAAAAGTGCGGTGTCATGTTTAACTTGAGCAAGGTTACTCACTTTTTTGTTGCACTAATAAAATGCTGTACTGGTGGGAAGGAGGCCTATACCTGAGCTTAAATAAGTACATACTGTTCAGAGAGGGATGAAATGTATTGTTCTCACAGGTTCAGGTAACAATCTGTGAGCCTCTCTGTGCAGACAAGCCAAAGAAAAATGTTAGTTAAGAAATTGAGGCAAGCTTTTTGTTAAACCTTTAAACAGTTGACCTACTCGCGGATGAAAATATGTGCCTTAAGAAGGAGGGGCAGTGCTCCTGACTTCTTTTCTCCATGGCGACATGAGATTTAAACAAAATACATGAATATTACATCACATGAGTATGTCATAAGTCTTGCTTGTTTGTTTTGCTCTTGCGTTGGAGAGCAGGAACTGTGGAATGGAACATTATTACCATTTTTGTAACTTGAATCCAATTAATGACCTTCTGTAAGTCTTTATGACCTTGTCTATAAATGTGATGATGATGGTACTTGCCTCGGAGCTGGTGGAAAAAAACCAAACATGTGTGTGATGGATGTAACATGGCACCTGACACAGAAGAAGCACCAAACGACTGTTTACCTTCTTCTTTCTTTTGTAGAAGTCACATTCTCAGGCTATCAATACTGACAGGACTGCATTAGTGAGTCTATATTTCATACTGCATTAGTGAGTTTAGTATTTAGTTTATATGAAGCTAAATTAAATCAAACGCATCCTAATGTCTCTTTCTCTTAAGGTGCTTACCCCTTTGAAGTGGTATCAAAGCATGATAAGGCAGCCGGTATGTAGATGTTTTCTTCTTTACCCCCTTAAGATAGTCGGTATGCATTTTATTTCCCTTATTAAATAGTGAAATAGCATATCTACTCCACTGACAGACACTATTGGGGATTTTAGTTTGTAAAAAGATATCTGTGTACACCGTTAGAAATTCCTGCAAAGGAGAAAAATGACTAAAATATTCATATGGTCATAAATGACAAACACTGCTACTTCTCCAGTTGGAAGTCAACTGAGCCAATGGTAAACCTGACTCTCTGTTTCTCACCAGTATCCTTCCTATGGTTACGAACCCATGGGTGGATGGCTGCACCACCAAATCATCCCCGTGCTGTCTCAACAGCATCCCCCAAGTCACACCCTTCAGCCTCATCACCACCTCCCCGCGGTGCCAGCTCAACAGCCCGTGGTCCCCCAGCAGCCAATGATGCCAGTTCCTGGCCACCACTCCATGACTCCAACCCAACACCACCAGCCAAACCTCCCTCCATCCGCCCAGCAGCCCTTCCAGCAGCCCTACCAGCCCCAGCCCGTTCAGCCCCAGGCTCACCAGCCCATCCAGTCCCAGCAGCCTCTGCACCCCATGCAGCCCCTGGCGCCACAGCCACCTCTGCCTCCGATGTTCCCCATGCAGCCCCTGCCCCCCATTCTTCCTGATCTGCCTCTGGAAGCTTGGCCAGCTACAGACAAGACCAAGCGGGAAGAAGTGGTGAGTATACCTCCAAGCCACTAAAAGACAAACCTTGGGAAATGGACCTGTACCATGGGCCCAGCAGTCGTCAATTCTCAGACAACTCATGTAGTTCCTACTGATGCGCTAACCACAGGCCCATGATGCTATTAGTCCAAGCATGTGGTGGAGCTTTGTATTACAAATGCATTTGCTTCCATGGCTTGGTAATTAAGACCACAGATTTTAGGGTGAGTTTAAATGCTATGATTATTGAAGCCCAACCAGAATAGCTTTTACTGAAATACATTAATTTTAAAAGGAACAAGTAGGAAGCACAGGGTTTTTTTTATTTCAAAGGTTTAATTACCTTGAATTGACTATCAGATTTCCCTCTAAGAATCATAACTCTGTAGAGAACAGTTTGTAGCAAAAAGCTGCCACAATTTAGCATTCAATCTATTTCTATGTATCCACATGTAATCTAAATTGATAAATGCCATTATTATTGTAAATGCTACTGAGAAGCAAAGAGAACAAAGCAGAAATGATCTGCGTGGGGAGCCAGTGTATCTGGGATCTGGTCCTGGTTTTGCCAGGAGATTGTACTTTATAAGTGAATTCAAATTTACAGATGTTTTCCCTCTTTAAAAATGGGGAAAGTAACTAAATCAGATTATAATATATGTCTTCATAATTATGAGCACATGTAGGTAGAAGATACAATTTTTGAAAATGGACTGGATCAAATAATCTGGTTTCTATCACTGATTATTCTAGTGTAAAGTATGTTTTTTTCTGTTTATATAGAACATACACTTATTTATATATTTATTAATACTCAGCATCATAAACTTGAAAATGTGCTCATACCTTGCTTGCTAAAGCTGATAAAAAGATGACATTGAGAAAGTAGCTTACTTTTTGAAAATTTAGTGTCCTCCTGTTTAAAATTAGAGTATAAATGGTAAACTATCAGAGCTATTTTATAAAAAACAAAATAAGCTCATGAAGTCAGAGCCTAGCAGGTATGAAATACCTGAGGAAAAGTTTCATTTCTTTTGGTATTATCAGGTAATAGGCTGTATGTGTCCTATAGGTAGGGATGTAATATTTGAGGACAACCAGATAATAAACTTCAGAAATATAGATTTAAACTCGATTGTACATTGTTTTTGACAAAACTGAAGCCAAAAGTGTTTGGTAAAAGGTATAAAGTATTCATTAGAAAATGTTTGTAAATTATTTTAATTGTTCCTTTTGTTATTTTTTTTCAGGATTAAAAAATCGGAAAAAGAGAGCTGAAGTGGATACTTCAGTTGCTTTTAGGAATAACACAAGAACACAATGATTTGTGCCTACAATTGCTTTACTCAGCCATTTCTGTAACTAAAAATAACTATCTTTAGCAGACAATAAAATGTTTTAAAAATCATTCATGTCTTTGTGTTGAATTCAACTTAAAATTTCATGTCACTGTAGAGAACACTTTGTAAACGAACATTCATGAATAAGGTAGGACCTGTTTACTATTACTCATAATTAGGCCTTTTGACAGGTGAATCAGGACTAAGTTTTTATACTACCTCAAAACATTTTTTAAAAAAGAAAGTTCGGACGGGGAATGTGGCTCAGTGGTGGAGTGCTTGCCTAGCATGCATGAAGCCCTGGGTTTGATTCCTCAGCACCACATAAACAGATAAAGCTGGAAGTGGTGCTGTGGCTCAAGTGGTAGAGCACTAGCCTTGAGCAAAAGAAGCTCAGGATAGTGCCCAGGCCCTGAGTTCAAAGCCCAGGACTGGCAGAAAAAAAGGAAAAAGAAAGTTCTTTCATGGGTAATAATAGTAGATGAAGTGAAATACAAATGAGACTCACTCTGAACTAAATAAAGTTAGTTTAGAAGAAAAAATCTTTATATTGGGAAAGATAAACACCTAAAATGTTTATATTGTAAAACAAATCAGGATTTGAAATTCTGGCTCTATACTTCACACTAGATTCATAATCCAAATCCAGCCTTCTGATCTCATTCTACATAAAATATTTTAAAAGAAAACTATGTGATATATGTATATAATGTACTGAATTTAAAATTATTGAAGTAATTATTCTTCCTAAGAAATATTTAATAATGGAGCTTCAAATAGAGAATCATGATAGCTTTATATACAAGTCATTTCTCTCACTTCATAATCTTTAAGATGATAAATTCTACTGCATAGTCTTCAAAACATTAGCAGATGCATAAAATGGACTCAAATCAAGTTTTCTGTCCCACTCATATTTATATTTGAATCCTTTTTTCCTCCTACACCCACACAAAATTGTAAACAGTCTTTGCAGGGTTTATATTACACAGCACCCACAGTAACTTTAATTCCAGTACCTTTGTGATTAAGGCCTCTTAATCATTTTCTGGAATGAATAAACATAACTTTACTGGGAGAGTGTCAATACTTGAGCAAAGAACTTGATTTTAAAGAATTTAGAGTCAATAAGAAATGGTAAGAAAGCTTCTAATCCATTGGCATATGCCACATTTAGTCAGTCGAGGAAATATTTATCAAGCACTCTCTCGGAGAAGGTACTATGTCATGTGCTGGCAAAAACATCCTTAAAGATGTTCTAACTCCCCATGGTTAAGGAATCTAGGATCCATCAAAGGGGTAAAATAAACTCATCAATGCTGATGAGAGAAGGCCAGATGGTATTAATGCCATGACAAAAGTCCAATCCAAATGCTCTGGCAACCATAATTGCCAGCTGTCCACCAGCTTTCCTCGACACTCCTTACTGGCTGGCAGAGCTGGAACAAATCCCAGCATACATAGTCTTCTACGAGCTCAGGAGAGATGAGCTCCATCCACTGCTTCAGGGAGTGAATGTGCATTCCTCCATGCCAACAATGGTGGCAGTGATTATTTGCGATGGACCCTGAATACTGATTGAGCCAAGTATCTTAGGAAAGAAAAAAAACAACTAGAGAAACATTTACCTTCTAATTACAAAAATACAGAGATACATGCTAGGAAATAGTGCTTAACTCTATTTTCATATTGCATTACACTGAGGGAGATTTCATTGTTATATTGCTCAACTATTTGATTGGATTGTTCTTTTGAGGATGTGATGTCTGAAGCTATGGCTGCTGTCTCGTGACCTGGAAGGGATGTGGAAAATGAAAAGTACCCAGGTTCTTGATGGCATCATTCCTAAAAGCAACTGAAGTGACCACTTCAGTTGCCCCTGGATTAACCAACCCGAGAACCAGCTATATATGTTGCTCTTTCTGCAAAGAGCAGGATCTGTGGAACTGAATATAATAATCACTTTTATGACATAAGTCAAATGGATAACTTCTTTAACTCTTTACAACCTTATCTAGAAAGTGGGGGAGATGATTGTTGTTTCAGAGCAGGTGAGAAAACATGTACAATGTGTGTGTGGTAGATGCAACAGGGTACTGGACACATAGCAGCACTGGCTACAGGTTTAGCTGCTTTCTTTTATAGAACTCACAGTCTCAGATTGTCACTACTGACAGAACTGTTTTAATGAGACTGTAATTCATACCACATTAGTGAGTTTGTATGTTAGATGAAATTAAATTAAATCAAATCCATTCTAATGTCTCTTTCTCTTAAGGTGGTTGCCCCTACAAAGTGGTACCAGAACATGCTAAGGCAGCCGGTATGTAGATCTCTTGTTTTTAATTCTCTTAATATATTAGGCATGTAGTTCAACTCCCATACTAAGTCAAGTATTATGTCTACTCTACAGGCAGCTAGTTAAATCTTCTACTGCTGAAGTTCTAATGGAAGTTAACTAGATTCAAAGAACAGGGAGGTTACTGGGAAAGCACAGTGTCTATATGGTAAACCTTTGAAAATTAGGGATTGCAATAACGTTTCATACTAAATAAGTTCTCTTTTAATTTTAATAAGTGCCCGAACTATTGCTATCCTTTATCTCATGTATTTCATTTTTGTGCTATCCTCTAACTATAATGTATGCTTTACAATATGGGGATGAATCATACAGAAGAGATTGGCTTTCATAAATAACAAAACACTCATATTTAACTTATCCACCTATCTCAGTAGCACTGAGGATGGAAAAAGCAAAATTATCTGAATGTAATTTTCATGTATCCATGATAGTAACAGTTATTACATTTTCCAAATCAAAATATAGATAATGTGGAATGATAATGCAATGGACTATTTGAAACCAGAGATGAATAACTGAATTATAATGCACTGACTACCTGCACTGTCTAGGATGGTAGTCCTATCTGGCTTTAACTTTAAATGGATTAAATAAAATAACATTTAAAATTCAGTTTCTTGGTCACAGGCCATTTAAAATGGGAGTGTCTCCCATAATGACAGCATAGATATGGGCAATTTCATCAACTCCACTGACAGCTGATTAGACAATGTTGTTCTATACTGTTCTTTCAGAAAGGAAAGAACAATTTTCATTAATTGAAAGAATTTAAACAAAAGAAAAATACAACAGTGATTTCCTAGGCATTCCAATGATCACAGTCTCGTATGGGAGTTTTCTGAGTTCTACAGAAGTCTCATTCTGTTTCTTAGGTCAAACCACGCACATCAACATTGGTTCTCCTCTGGTTCTCTCTTTAAAAGGAAGATGAATCCTTAATTCCAGTAAATTAATTTCCTTGCTTGTATGAGAACTATTTTAGCATCAAAGGAATTTTCTTTTCTTTTCAGGCCTATAACCAACCATATCCATACTGGAGGTAGAAGGCTACGCCTGCCCTTGACCCCGTGCTTCACATGCCAAGAAGCCAACATTTATGCTGAATAAAAGATAAAAGAGAGAAATTTTGTTTATCTTGAGAGTGATTTATTGCATGTAGGCACCAGAAGATACTTATATTTTTCTCTTATAGTTCAAAATAACAATGTAGTATTGGGGTATGTGCATACACATAAACACAGCCAGACAGACAGACACATACACAGTTTACTACAGTAAAAAAGATTTGTGTACAGATATATGCCATTTGAGTAACTTGAAATTTTATGTAAAATCTCTCTCCAGTCCAACTATTTAGGGAATACATACATCTAGTACTTATTTTTGTCACTAAGGCACTTAACAATTTATCCCCTAAAACTTTTATCTGGAAAAGAAAGATCAAGCTGCTCATTTCATTTCCAAAGAAAACCAATTTAACTCCACCTTTCCTAATTACACAGATATTTTAAATATAGGCTTCTCCCTTAAATTTTCCCCCTTGGTAGTGAACTATAGCAAACAAAATACCAAGTCTGAGCTAAAATATATGATAAAATAGCAGACAAGTGTTCTAATTATAGTAGTAACCCGAGACCCTACTGCATACGGATTAATATAGGAACCACATGGAAAACATGATTTCAACCAAGTTCCTATATCAGAATAGAGGTGGCATATAGTAATGTTCCAGATTGTTTTAATAAAAGATTAATCGGCTGTTTTGCTGTGAAATTCTTGTTAGTAGGAGCTTTTACTTCATGTGAAATGTCTCACTCTTCTAGAAGATAAATAATAACAAAAAAACATTCACTGGCAGTGATGAGAAGATGTTTTTAAAAAGTTGCAAGAAGATGATACAACATGGCGGACTAGAGACAGGGCAGTCTCAGAGCTCTGCTCAATCAGAAAGAGAAAGCTCTAACCAGGGAAAAGCAAGCAGTTAGTACCTAGTGCCAAGGAAGAAACATTAAACTTACAACTCAGAAAGAGAAGAAAAATCAACCAAAGAAAAGGTTGCGAGGAGAATACAAGGGTAGTTTTTTGAGTACCAAAACATTTACACGAATAAATCACATCTATGTCTTTTATGAAAAAAAAACCAAATTCATAAGGTCCCTTTATAAATACATTATCCTACTATCAACAACAACCACAACAAGAACAACAGCAAAATCTCCACTGTAGAGCCCGGTACTTATTATCTTCTCACTAATTAAAAATTTTCCCACAGTAGGCCCCCTAATTTCAAAATATCCAAATCATGCTTTCTCCTCCCAATCATTTCCCATGCTTTATGTGTGGTTGTGGGATGGGAAGGGAGACAGACCCCAGGGACCAGTTAATTGTCCATTCAATTGCAGTGTTAGCTTCTAATGTTACAGGAGTGGGCAGAGAATGGAGCAGGCTTTATAACTAGACTGTCTGGTCCATAATTGTAACCATGGCCTGCCTGCTGTGGACACTTAAACAAATCTCTTAGCCCCTCTGTAACTCAAGTTTCTTCATCTAGAAAAATATACTGATGTCTTGCTCTGAGTCTTTCCAGGTTAATGATCCTCAAACTTAATTATTTTGTGGGAAAGGGGTAGACAAATGAAGAGGAGAAGAGGAGGAGAATGCAGTCAAGAATTCAATGTATATTTCACAAAATTA